CCATCCAGCAAGGTAAACCAACCAGTCAGTCATGAACAAAACCAGCCATACACCCAAGCCATCTAGGCAGGATTGATACTAAGGTTAAACAGGTAAACTAAGGAGCGGACAGATAACGATCAAAGATCCGTGCAGTCCCATCTACAGAAGTTCATCGTGCCCAAAGATCATCATAATGGATGCATGTCCACGCCCCAAGAGAAGACAAACAAAGATAACACTAGACGTCTCATAAGATCGGACATGGTCTTATCTGATCCAATGAATACGCAACCAATCTCGCTTCGTTTCCGCGCGGAAAATGAAGGGGAGATGTACCATCACATAGGAATGAAGATAAGAAAGACTCGAAATTACACCTTCTCGCCGGTCTCCTGGGTGTATGTAGCGCCGCCCGTCTTGCCGCCGCCCGTGACCTTGAGGTTGCCCTCGGCGATCTCCGCCTCCAGGTCGTCGAGACGACTGCGCTTCTGGAGCTTGCGCCAGGCGGGCAATCCACTGTCGAATACCTCGTCCATTTCTTCGAGCGTATAACCCTTAGTCTCGGGAGCAGTGAGGAACATGTGAATAAAGGCAGCGGTGTTGAATGCGGCGAACTATGAAACAAAATTAATTGGAGCCGGTGTTTTGGAGGGGAAATACTTGAACTTACGACCATGTACATCTTCCAGTTAATCGACCAGAGAAGGGGCGGCACGAAGAGCGCCAGCAGACAATTCCAGGTCCAGTTGCAGGCAGTCGACAGCGACACGGCTTTGGCACGGACTTTGGCAGGGAAGATTTCAGCCGGATAGGTCCACGAGGTGGGACCGATGGTGGTGGCGAAAGAACACACGAAGAGATATGACATGGCGATGATGGCCTTTCCCACGCCAGGATGATCGGCGACCGTCCAAGATATGGCATCCAACTTAGGATCGGTGTGCGGGTTAGGCTTGCCGTATCCGGCTTGCAGACCTCCCTCGATGTACAGGAAAATGGCCTGGCAGAAGAAGCCGACCAGAAGAGCGGGACGACGACCGAATTTGTCAAGATACAGGATGGCCGGTAGAGTCAGCGCAGTATTCAAGATGTACTGGATCGATGCGGTCAACAAGGGGGAGCCGGTGCCTGTACTCTGCATGATGTAAACGATGTAGTACATCATGACGTTCATGCCGCAGAGCTGAGACCACATCTGCACACTCATTCCCAGAATCACACGCTTCAGAATACGTGGCTTGGTGAGCTCCTGGTAGCTGGTCTCAGATTGCTCTTGCTCTAGGGCCAGAGCCTCCTGGATTTCGCGGTACTGCGCCAGCACCTTGGGGTGGTTCAAATCACCGTTGCCGTGAAGGTTGGCGAGGACCTGCATAGCTTCGTCCCAGCGATCTTTGCTCGCCAGCCAACGGGGTGACTTGGGGTAGAAGAACAGGCCGAAGAAGAGAATGAAGCCAGGCACGATCTGAATGCCCCAGGGGATCCGGAACGCGGCGGAGCTCTGGGTTGGGTTGTCGGGGCCTCCGTCAATGTTGCTAGCGCCATATTGCTAGATACCGGTCAGTTGTTTCCTGTCTTTCCAAAGGAGGTTCGTAAACCTACAATAAAGTATTGGATCAGGATACCCCAGGTGATCGCCCATTGCTGCAGGGAGATGACTCGGCCACGGATCTCCTTTGGTGCCACCTCTGCTTGGTAGACGGGCACCATTGCAGAGGCAATACCAACACAGAGACCTGCGATCACACGACCGACCACAAGCAAGGGAATACCGTTCGAAGCGCATTGCAAGCTATAGCGATCAGCGAAAAGTCCCCAGCGGAGCGACATCGACGTACACTGCACCAATAATCCACAGAATCGACGAGAACTGAATGGCATAGACACGAGAGTATTTATCGGCGATGAAACTGGAGCCGAGGGCACCGACGAGAGAACCGAACGGCATGGCGCAAGTGATAGCACCCTACAGTAAATAGTCTGTCAGCGCAATCCAACTTCACCAGACTGTAGACGCTTACCTGCTTGTACTGGCCGGATCCGACCTGGAAGTAATTGGTGTAGGCAGTCGTTCCAAGCACACCTGCTCATGTCAGCAAACGCGACGGCTAGAGTTGTCGGCGCGACAAATTTACCACTCATGGACGAAATATCGAAACCAAAGAGCCCACCACCTGTGAGGGGTCAGCAAGAGACACGGACGGTCGAACGGTGATCAGACAAACTCACCCAAGGTGATGAAGCTACAAAGGAAGTAAACATTGTAGAATTTCTTCATCGTGATGGCGACCAGCTGTCGAGAAGACGAGAGCCAGCCAGGAGGTTATCACATCCAACAAGAGAAGGGGGAAAGGAAGAAATCGAATGACGGGGTACACGGTCAGGGGAGGGGATTTAAACGAAAACAGAAACAGAAACAGGAAGGTTAATCAAGAAGAGAAAAAGAAAAAAAAAAAAAAACAAAAACAGGAAGGAAGAGGACCAGGGGCCGCGAAGGCACATGGACCGCGTCTGGCAGTCACGACGCCATTCACCGTCCAGCATTCACTACGTCGCCTGATGGATTTGGCCTGATCGGATTCAATCTGGGACTGGTACGGCATTGGCGCAGCGCCACCAAACAGCAAGCGGCTTGGACTCTCGGTGTGATTTGACCGTCTTCCCAGGTTGCGCTCGTATTCCCTGGTTCTCCCCGCGCTCGTCTCCGGTTGAATGGCTACTTGGCTTTCGTTTTAAGCCTTGGAATGGTATCTCCCCACATGGGGAACTCATGAGCCTGAGCAGCAGCATCAGATGCATCGTCGAGGACCACGCCATCAGCCATTCAGCTGGGCTCGAGGCCTTGTTGGTGGTTGTACGACGAGTGCGTACCCGTCGTTAGTCGGGAGGTTAGGGCATCGCCAGCACGCGCTGGGGGATTTTAGCTACTGGGGAAATCTGTCAGAGGTATTTCCTCCAGTCAAGGCGAGCCATTCGGGCTTGGCCGTCAGCGCATTTCCCTCCCGTTTCTTGGTCCTCGTCCCATTTGCAACAAAGGTCCAGTTCATTTCAGTTCATTCTGGTTCCTCCTTCGTGCCATCATCGACTCGTTTCCCTCCTTCTCCAGACACCGGGAGGATCCATCCCCTTGGGCCTCCAAGGCTGTCAACCACGGTCGGACATGAACTCTCAGGCATCATGAGATTGAGACCCTATGTCAGACTGGCTCAAAGGTCGACAAAGGTCGACGTAGCTACAGGGTTACATCCAGCTTCCCCCACTTTTCCCCAGGATCACTGGGATTCTCCTGTCTGCTGGGGCCGTTGCCCCTATATCTGGACCCTGTTATGACCCCGGTCCGCCACGCCATCCCAGCCAACCAACCAACTCTATGTGCCATCAAATCCCACGAAATTGCCCAAAGAGGCTACTTCTCCCCCGCCTTCTTCCCGACCGTCCTTTGTTCGCTTCTTTATCCCTCTTCCCGTCCGTCGGGAAGAGGGTTTCCGCCTAACTCAACCAAACTCTGCGAACGTCTTGTCTGACCTCGTCGCTCGTCATGGGAATGTGCGATGGACCAAGGATCGCGGTCCCCCTACACACACATCCATTCAATATGATTAGCTGACTTCCATGTGCCACTCTCTGAAACGGTCAGCGAGGGCGAGTAACAAGAGGGGGATTTCTGTACCACCATCACGAGACTTGGAGGTGCGACTAACTCTATGAGGTCTTAGTCAGTTAGCGCGACGTCTGACATGGCTCCGGTCTATCCATTTCCTCACTAGTTCCCTAGTGGGGGGTTTTCATGCTAGTTAATCTCTCACTTTATTGCGGCCTTGGCGCTAGAGCTTGAGGAGGCATGTGCTCTCCTGGTGGTCCTCGCGGGCACACGAGAAGCGTTCGGGCGTGTTGTGCGCCAAGGCGGCGATGTAACCGTCGAGTCTTAGCAGCCCAGAGTCCAGGGACATAAGAATTAGCAACACAATCTCCGAATCCGATATCGAGTCCAGCCTGTGCCATTTTATTAACCCTTCCTAAGTCTTTAAATGGTCGTGATCATTTCAAATCAGATTGATGAAACCACCTCGGCAGAGTCTAGCGTTCACAAGAAAAAGTACATTTTATCTAGCTCACTTTTCATATGCCCCTGTTACATTGACATCCTCGCCATCCCTTCACCTCGGGGTATCAATGTCCGAACGCCCGTATCAGTAGAGAGAGTCCCAGAGTCCTACGGAGTTCGTAAAAGCAAAGCAAAGTAGCCCTGATGGCAAGACGTCAGCGGCGCAAATGTGGCATACGGGCTTAACTACGGAGTACTACTAAACAATTTATTTCACATCGTGGGCTTGGAGGGCGTTCCTTGGAAGATGGACGAGGGATAAAAGGAAAGGCGAGGTGGAGAGCCGGGAACGCTAACGGAGTAGATTGTGAAGTTCATTGGCCTGGCGCGCATGATGTGTACCATCGCGACAAAACAACTTGGAGATGATCAATCAATCAATCAATCAAAATTCTATTAACTTAATAAAGCCTATCTATTGAAACGCTAAGCTATGCAGGCGCTTCGCCGAATGAAGCAGAACCTCGAGCCCGTACGCCGTACAAACCCTCGAAGCAGCAGACAGAGGAAATCAAAAAGCAACACAATTAAACCGGCTGCCAAACGCCTACCGCGTGCCTACTACGCCCCTAGGCGCTATTCTCTCCTTCCACTCCGTTCTACCTGTAGTATTCCTGTATGTGCGCGTCGTATAGCCAGTTGAGACTCGCTGGCCCTTAGTGTTCTGTGTAACCATCGTCTTCCTCACCCATAGAGCCACATCCAGTGTAGGAGACTAGAGACCATAGACTACTGGATATATAAAACCAGCCGAGGTGTATGTAGGAGGGTTTAGCATATTGCCTTTCCATTATGCGAGTGCCTTTGTAATTCCCGTTTATCCGCTTCGGTCTTCTCTAGCTCGCCAAGGCGGACTGGCGGTACTTATCACGCCTGGATCTATCACCACCTAGGCTGAATATCACCGTGTCCGCCGATGATTCTGTTGCCCCCGGGCACCTGTTTACTGCAGCGTACCTGGGGTTCGATCCTGGCAGTACCGGGCCAGAACAGGCCAGTGCCTATATCTTTCGAGATAATGGGGATTTGGTCCGGACGAGTATCGGGTATTTGGCCGGAGGGTGGCCGACTTCGGTTTTGTTACGATCAATAACAAGCCTGCTCTTCGTGCCTTCCAGGACGTTTTGGATGCCCCCCATGGTCAATTGTATGGGGATCATGTCATTCTAAATGATCGGTACGAGACGCAGAGAGTCCTGGGAGCCGCATCGCATCGTCTGTTATCTTGCCATGAATTCCATGTCGTGAACAATGGTTCATCGGTGTTGATTGAAACGCCCGTGTATATCCCAGCTGACCTCTCGGCGTATGGAGGCGACGAAGAGCATACCTGGATCGTAACGAATGGCTTTCAAGGTACGAGGAGGCCGATCAAGATTGGTACCCGGACTCTTTTCACTAACCGCATGATCCTACTCATAGAGCTAGACATAGAGACCATGGAGCTCCTCTTTAAATGGTATAGCCTAGATCATGCCAATCCCAAGTGTAAGTGCTGCCTTATTTATCACTGTTCAAACTGTTCGAGAGGTATAGATCGTCTCATCTTACATGGCACTCCTGCAGACAGTAAATTCCCTCTCGCCAACGACGGTGTATTCAGTGGCCTCTCCTCCGCGGATGCGTGGAATTACTTCCACATCAACAGCGTGGACAAGGATGACGAAGGTAATTATGTGATTTCCGGGCGTAACTATGCCGTGATATTCAAGATCAACGGCACGGACGGCAGCGTGATTTGGCAATTGGGTGACGAGCACGGGTCGACCTTTGACATCCCGCTCGATGTGGAATTTGGCTATCAACACCGCGCTCGATTTCGGTACCGCTCTCCCGATGGCACGATTGATCACATCTCCTTCTTTGACAATGCCAGACCCAGTGTGCCTGGCCACGTCTTGAATCCCTTCTCCCGACCACGCTTCGTGGAATTGAACCACACGGCGGGGACTGCGAAAACCCTGCATACTTACCCGGCCCTAGATCGTCTCTCAACCTAATCGCAGGGAAACGTGCAGGTTCTTCTAAATAAGAATGTCTTCGTCAACTGGGGCTAGGCTGGCGCGGTGACAGAATTCGCGGAGAATGGAACTGTTCTATTCCCTGCATATCTGGACTCACGCCCACAGGTCAATGTCCAGAGCTACCGGGGATTCCACAGTGAATGGAAGGGCTCCTCTCGCGAGGAACCTGCGGTGGTGGCGTTGCTGGATCATAACAATAAACTTCGGGTTTTTGTTTCCTGGAATGGCGAGACACAGGCGGCCGCTTGGAATTTCTACCTCGTTCGCGACCAGGACAGTCGAAGAGATATAGAACCCATGGGCTCGTCCAACCGGACCAGCTTTGAAACCAGTTTTGAGGCCACTCTCGTACACTCGGATCATGAGAAACTCTCCGTCATAGCGGAGGCGTTGGATTTTAGTGGTCGGTCTCTACGTCAAAGCGTGCCAGTTGCATTGCGGGATGCGGGACCCTATAGCTCTCGCCTAGCTGTTGTTTGGAGTCTACCCTGACAACCTCCTGTTGAGAAGGTGCTCCAAGCCCTTCGCTTCCATTGCCTGATGTAGTCTAGCGCAGCCCACAGTAGATCCTAGATAGGGATCCTGCGATCCACCTCTCTTCAATAACTATAACGCTTAGTTTCCTACGCTCAACACCTCCCACACGTTTTAGAGCTGTGATCGAAGAGCTTTTGATTAGTCAATACTAACACAGAATAGAGTCTGCGTGCCGGTACGGCCGAAATCGTAATGTTACCTTCTCTTCTGGGGCAGGGATAGGAAGTCTAGACCATCTCAAGAGTATTTTCAGTCCACTTTAAACCTCCCAATAACTCCTATTCAATTGCTTCCCATAATTAGATGTATTTTGTCAAAGAAAAAGCATACTCGTTTCGTGATACTTCGGCTAGGTGGTTGGCCCGCGAGATTCAATGGCACGTCTTTGCTGAGAGAATCACGAGCTGGAGGAAAGGACACATAATCAAATCTTAATCGACGACCTCAAGCCGTTTTTAAGGTGTGGATGGGACCTAGCAGAGATATGGCGAAGGGTATGCTTCTCAAGTGTCGTTAAGTAGAGAGTGTTGGGTCCAGTCATAATACTTGAATTCCGAGTTCAACCTGTGGCTAATAGATCAATTTTGCGCAAGAATGCAAGCCCATGCATGTTATCATCTTAAGGTAAATGGTGTCATCTATTATCGGCTTTTTTTTCTTTCAATTAAATTGTCGCATGGAAATTGTGCCGAGAGGTTAGGAGTCCAGCTATAAAAGACCCCAGGCGCCCCTAGACGACTTTCTCCCTATACATAGGTACTTCTTTCCGTCTATTTGATACCTAGATCCTTTAGATTAGTTTTTAGTCTAGATATGTCTGAAATCATAGATCTTACTACTCATGGCCATGAGTGTAAAACCTCTCTAGTCGTTGATTCTAACGGCTCTGAATCGCACCAAGAAGCCCAAGAAGATTGGACCAAAAAGCAGGAGGCGCGCGCCCGCCGCAAGTGAGTTTCTATATTAATATCAGGCTGCTCAATAAGGTATTGCACTGACCAATCATCCTCAATAGAGTTGATTCCACTATCCTACTGATTCTTGCCCTTGCATTCTTTGCACTTCAGATCGACCGAGGCAACATTAGCGCCGTCCTAATATCAACCGTCACCGAAGACTTACATATTACCACTGATCAGATTAATGTTGGAACTCAACTCCTTTCTGCCGGAATTGTCATCATGGAGATCCCATCCAATATTCATTTGCACAAAGTTGGACCAAAAACCTGGCTTTCCTTTCAACTTCTCGCATGTGGGCTTGTCGCTACTTTCCAGGCTTTCGTATCGAGTTATTCCGCATTTCTTGCCACTCGTCTGTTACTCGGTCTCCTTGAAGGTGGTTATATTCCAGGTAAGTAACCTATTCCTAGAAACTATTCAAGGCGATGTATTTGTTTCACTCTAACTATGCCGCAGGAGCTCTATTTTATCTTACAACCTGGTGTAAGAAACAAGAAATAAGATCGCGCATCACCCTTTTTTTCTTCGGCCAAATTCTCTCTACAGCTACCTCGAAGTTGATCTCGGCAAGTTTGTTAAGCCTCAATGGCCGGTGCGGATTAGAGGGCTAGAGCTAGATTGTCTTAGGTTTGATTCCTTTGCAAAGTCACTCTTATGCCTCTAACTTAGCATGTGAATTGAAGACTGACAGACCCTCTTGATATAGCTGAGGGCTTGATGACCACCGTGATAAGTCTGATATTTCTGCTCCTGCTGCCCTCCAAGGTCGGGGACGGACGCCCGCTCTTCGACATAGGTGGGTGGAGCTATTTCTCCGAACGAGAATCGTATATCATCAAAGCCCGGGTTGCCAAGGAGTCAGCCAACCAAGGGGCCGACAAGGTGAAGCTGAGCGGGAAGGATATCTGGCACACCGTGCGCCAGCCGAGTATTATCCAGCACTGCGTTATGACCTTGGTCTCGATGACAGCACTTTCCGGTTTGACATAATATATGCCCGCTTTGATCAAGTCACTCGATTATGAAACAGTCTAGGCCAATGCTTTGGCATCAGTCCCAGTTTACTGCACCATTGTGTTGACATTCGCCCTCGCATACCTCAGGTATTTTGCTTGTCCTCTTTATCCTTTCTTTCCCCCTCTGGAAGTGGTCGTCGTGTCCGGATTCTCGCTCAACACTAACACTCTTGATTTCAGCGACCTTACAGGGCAGCGTGGTGCTTTTGTTCTCTTGGCGCTGACATGGAACGTCATCGGCTAGGTATGCCTGTCTGCGCACCTTGCCGATCCATGATAGCCGGTCCATCAGATACGGAGCTCTGGTTGCTTGTGCCATGGGATACGCCGCAATGCAGTAAGACCTCTGATTAACATAAATAGTTCAAAGTCTACTTGACTTATTAGCATTTAGTATCCTGAATGTGTGGTGGCTCGTCAGTAGCTGTAAAGTACCCTAGGAATGAAGTGTGGCTATGGCGTGAGTATACCTTCCCGTCCCCCCTCTCTCTCTATTCTTCTCAAATCACTGATGCGGAACCACATCTATACAGTATGATAATCATGGCAGCAAACGCATCATAAATCGCTGGTGCTCGGATATTTAGATCTTCAGATGCCCCCCATTACTTCCGTGGTCTGACAACTATATTGATCCTAGCGGGTGTCGCTTGGGTCCAGGGCGTGCTCCTCAATCTTCATTATCGACTTGGACTGAGCAAATCTTAGTCTATTTCTATGAGACTCTGTACACATATCTTGGCTATTTCCAAGAGAATAGTATATTATGTCAGGTTTAGAGACAATGCTTGAGTCACTGTCATAATAAAACTAGAAGCTACCATTAATTGGATACTGACCCTTCAGACAATTCTTCGAAAACCAAAATTTATCAAGTCTCGTATATTTCTGTAATACAAAAATGTAATATCCACGCCACCTTCTAAATACATTGACCGATTTATAAACCTAACCAAAACATAAATAAAATACAAGCCTCAAATTTACATCTCTACCCGAACCTCGAACAGATAATTTAGGTAGTCTAGAACAGATCCGAATCCTTCTTAATCAGATCGGCCGCCCGCTCGGAAATAGCATACAGAGTGCTGACCAAGTGACCGCACACTTGGAACGGAAGCACCGAGGCGTCAACGACACGCACATTCGAGGTTCCGTACACGGTGAGCTTGTTGTCCACGACACCGCCGGATTTGCGGGGCATCATGGCGGCTGTGCCGACGGGGTGGAAGTTGGATCGGTCTGTGAGGTTTGGGAGTTAGGATTATTCTATTGCTCAATAGAAGGAAAGGGAAGGGAAGGGAGGGGAAAGTGGGGGTAAAGAGACATACAGTTTCCATCAAACGCCCACTCCTTCCACTCCTCGACGGACGCGTCCTTGGGCACGACTTCAAACCCGGGCGTCGATTCCTCAGCGACCAGACCGCTCAAGGGCGCCGTCTGGAGCGCCTTGCGAATGAACTTGGCGATACCTACGTGTGCCTGCACGTCCCAGTCGAACATGAAGTAGTTAGGGTTGATGACGGGTTTCTGCTGCGGGTTCTTCGAGCTGATATGCACGTTTCCGCGGGCGAAGGGAAGCAGGGACCAGAATTCGGAGGAAAGGGCGGCCGCTCCGCCGGGCATGAAGAGGATCTCGGCGATGGGGGTCTTCTGGTTGAAGATGAGGTCGTATTGCAGTTCGAAGAGGGGCAGGAGGTGCTTGGTCTTCATGATGTTACCATTCACCTTGGCCGTCTCGTCGGCGTATTTGTGCAAGTTGGAGCGCACGGAGTGGGCGATCGAAGCCGTCTCGTTGCCGAAGACGTCGTAGACGTTGGGGTACGTGACGGTGGAGCCGCCGGTGATGTTAGTGCGGGTGCTGGCGGCGAACGCGGCGTTGACTTGGTCCTGCAGGTTCTCGCCGACGGTGGGCAGGTCGACCTTCACGGGGATGTTGTACTTGGAGAGAATGTCTGGGTTGCCGATGCCCGAGAGTTCGAGGATCCCGGGGGTCTTGAGCGAGCCGGCCGAGACGATGACTTCCTCGGAGGCGGAGACGACACTGACGGTGCCGTTGCGGGAGGCGATCTCGACGCCGCGGGCAGTGGCTTCGTGGGAGGTCGACTCGTTCGACCAGATGATGCGGTTGGCGAACGTGTTCAGCAGCACGTGCAGGTTTTTCCGGTCCTGGAAGGGGAAGTAGTACGCTCTGGCGGCGTCCTCGCGGACCTGGAGTGTCGCGTCCAGGGTGGACGGGAAGACGTTGAGTCCGCGCATCTTACCGCCGTTGACGTCGTCGGTCCAGGGGACGCCGAGGTTGGCGTGAGTCTTGTTCAGCACGGTGGTGAGCTGGGTGGGCGAGGTGACCGAGTAGGCCACCTTCAAGGGTCCGTCTTCGCCGTTTACGTCGGCGTTGGGGCGCGCGCCGGCGGCGAGCTGCGGCGTGGATGGGTTCGTCAGGTTCTCGCTCTTCAGATAGTAGGGGAGCAGGGAGGACCAGGTCCAGCCCTTGTTGCCGATGGTCTCCCAGGCGTCGACTTGCACGTCTTCGGCGCGTGTGTATGCCATTCCTTCACTTCGTTAGATTCCGCCGGTATAGACTACTCTAGGGGAGCACGTACCGTTGATAGCACTAGTACCGGACAGCGCCTTTCCAGCTCTCAGGACCTGCTTGTTGCCGCCGCCATACGTCTGGTTCGTCGACTCATACTGCCAGTCGATGTCCGTGCCGAAGGCCAGCCCGTAGCCGTCCGCTGCCGTGACGTTCGGGTTGTTGTAGACAGAGTCACCGGCCTCGACAACGAGCACCTTGACCTTGGGGTTCTCAGAGAGTCGGTTGGCGACGGCAAGACCACTCGTTCCACCGCCGATGACGATGTAGTCGTAGGAGGGAGATGAAGCCGCGAGGACGGATCCTGTCACGGACAGGAGAGCCACGGCGGAGATGAGACGGCTGAACATAGTGACCTGCGTGGGATGCTGCCGATGCTGCTAGGGAGAAGATCGGCCAGCACGGGGGAAAGAGCACTTTATGTACGGGTTGGAATCAGCAGGACTGGTCAAATGGAGACCCATTGCCCGGATCTATCATGTCATGCCGGATTTTGAAGATGGGTCAGCTGTGACGAGCTCGCCATCTGACCGGTGTGTCCCTTGCATAACGGGTCCCTTGCATAGAGTAATCTTTTGTCAGCTGGTGAATCGGTGAAGGTTAGATTGCGACCCACTTGGTGCATTCCAGGAGTGAGGTTATTTTTCGGCTCCGTCGGACCCGTGATGCTGTCAGCGGTAGATGATTGTAGTCCGTAACCAGTCTGGAATTGAACGACAACATTGACTCTAGATTGTACACTCGGAGTATCAAGAACACGGTGAACAAAAGCAAAGAAAAAACATCAGAACACCCATCGTGGATGCAGAAAAGTTGATTCCATCTAATCTTATCATGAAACGGCTCGGGATCTTGCCGGTCCACCGTGTCTCGGCTTGCCGTGAATAATCCATGCCTAAGCACCCGAAGACAGAAGGTCTACATGCCGATCCACTCATTCCGTCGGCTTAGAAAGCGATTACTGATGCGCGGAATCCTTCCTTCTTCTGCTCTGTAACCCGTTCCTGCTCCTGTCGACGGTTGAATCCACCTGGTCTTGATTTTCTCCGAGGTTCTGCCATGCTTTATCGCCTTGTTAGACTTGTTTTATTGAATGGGTCTGGTCATCATCACTCTAGGGTTTACAGGACGCTAGAGACCTATTGCTCAGATGGATCAAGACGAATGACCAAGGTGTTATGCATTACGAGCAATCATCCATAGATATTGTTTACCTGTCTGGTTCGTAGAGAGAAATCGATTCTCGCCATCTACTTTCCCAACACAAAACCCGTCACGAAATGTCAATTCTGAAACCAGTCCCCGGTGAGCCAGGGGTCCAGATCTCCAAGGATCATCGCGTGCCCGTCTAGCCGTAGAGAATATATTAAATCCTGAACCGGAGCAACTAGACGAGACTAGTGTCATGTCAGGCCCCATCACTACTCTTTTTCACAACTTTGTACCTGGCAGTAGTTTACGATTAGTTACGGTGTCGGTCCGCGTGAAATTATTCATTCATCAATTCCCCGACGGATTTCCAATATGCAGGGGTAGAAGCTACCAGAAAGGCAAATGCGCCATGAGTGCCCAATTAAATGGAGTGAGGGATTTTCATGGGCGGAAAACTGTTCCATTGGTGACCGCTGGCAGTTTTTCGTCTTTCTTCTCACTCTAGTCTAGATACCAATTCCTTCTACATGTTGTAAGCACTTTCCGTAGCTTAATTTGGATGGCAGGATTCACTATGACAGCCTGTGTAAGAACTATAAAACTTTAACCTGATGAATTAATCATATTATCAAATTCTGTACGGTTGTTCAATATCAGACTTGGGGGTAAAATCGTACACCCCTATTTCCTCGGATACGGCCACTTCCAATTGCGAATATATTCTGGATCAATGCCGTTCTCCGCTGTTTCCTCCTTCGCCGCTAGCTGCAAATTTATAAACTTCTCACGGACCCCTGCTGCTCTGTTACCCAGCCTGGGTATCTGATCAATAGCGTCGATAGCCAGGCGGTACCTATCGGTCTGGTTTCTGACCGCAAGCTGGAACGGCGTATCGATATTTCCCTTTTCTTTGTACCCCCTGACGTGTAAATTATGTTGACCCGGTCGCTTATAAGTCAAGCGATGTATGAGCCAGGGATATGAATGGAAGTTGAATATGATAGGCTTGTCCTCGGTGAAGAGCGCCTTCCATTGCCGGTCCGACATACCATGCGGGTGGTTTGTTTCGGAAATGAGGCGGAATAAGTCGACCACGTTGACGAAACGCACTTTGACACCAGGAAGATGTTCACGGAGCAGAGACGTCGCGGCGAGAGCTTCATGCGTCGGAACGTCACCACAAGCGGCCATGACGACGTCGGGCTCTGCGTCCTGATCGTTGCTAGCCCAGTCCCAGATACCGGCGCCTTTGGTGCAGTGTGCGATTGCTTCGTCCATGTTCAGGAATTGGATGTGGTCTTGTTTATCCGCGACTATGACATTAACGTAGTTGACGCTTGCGAGACAATGGTTCGTCACCGAGAGGAGCGTATTTCCATCTGGGGGGAGATAGATGCGAACGACCTCGGGGCTCTTGTTGGCGACCACGTCGAGGAACCCGGGATCTTGATGGGTGAATCCGTTATGATCCTGTCGCCAGACGGTCGCGGTGAGAAGAATATTTAGCGACGCCACCTTGGCGCGCCATTCCACCTCAAGACATTTCTCAATCCACTTGCAATGTTGGTTGACCATGGAATCGATAACGTGAATGAATGGCTCGTAGCTGTTTAATAGTCCATGTCTACCGGAAAGGACGTATCCCTCCAGCCAGCCCTCGCAAGTATGTTCACTGAGCATTTCCATAACGCGCCCGGCGAAGGCGAGATTGCCCCCGTCTGTATCCTCCTCAAAGTACTCGGCCATCCAGACCTTCTTGCCAGCCTCGTAGACCTTGGCGAGCTTGTTGGATTCGGTCTCGTCGGGTCCGAAAAGTCGGAAGGTCTTGATGTTCCGCGCCATCACGTCCCGAAGGAATGTAGACATGTTAACCATGCTACCTTTTACGGTGACCCCTGGCTCAATGTCGCGAAGTCCGTACTTCCGGAAGTCGGGGATATCGAGAGGTCTGCGCACAAGACCGCCATTGCCGATCGGGTTGGCGCTCATCCGCGACAGGCCTTTAGGAGCTAACTCTCGAAGCTCAGGAATCAGTCTGCCTGATTTATCAAAGGTCTCGTCCGGTTTATAGCTCCTCATCCAATCTTCCAGTACCTTCAGATGCTTCTGGTTTGTGTTGACGTCGGTAATGGGGATCTGATGCGCCCGCCAGAACCCTTCCAGTCGCTTGCCGTCGACGTCTTTTGGAGCAGTCCAGCCTTTAGGACTTCGGAGGACGATCATAGGCCAACGGGGGCGGAAAGGTTTTCCTGACTCTCTAGCTTGTTTCTGAAACTTCTTTATCTCAAGAACGCAGTGCTCGAGCGTTGCTGCCATGGCCTGGTTCATGCTATCCAACTCGCTCCCCTCGACGAAATACGGCGTCCATCCGTATCCAGTCAACAACGCCGAGAGCTCATCGTGACTGATTCGCGCCAACAACGTCGGGTTATTAATCTTATAACCATTCAGATGCAGCACCGGGAGCACCGCGCCGTCCGTGATTGGGTTCAAAAATTTCGTACTATGCCAGCTGGTCGCTAGGGGTCCCGTCTCCGCCTCGCCATCACCCACCATTGTCAGGGTGATCAAATTCGGATGATCAAAGACTGCGCCGAATGAATGCGAGATCGAATATCCCAGCTCCCCGCCTTCGTGAATACTTCCTGGTGTCTCAGGCGTCGCGTGGCTACCAATCCCCCCAGGAAACGAAAACTGTTTGAAGAACTTTTGCATTCCCTTCTCATCCTCCCCTTTATCAGGATACACCTCCGAATAGACACCCTCGAGGTACGACTGAGACAGGATCCCCGGCGCGCCGTGCCCGGGCCCCGAGACAAAGAGGGCATCCAAGTCATATTTCTTGATCAGCCGATTCATGTGAATCCAGGTAAAAGATTGACCAGCATCGGAGCCCCAATGTCCCAGAAGACGCGCTTTGATGTGTTCAAGCTTCAGCGGCTCTTTCAAAAGCGGATTATCGCGAAGATAAAGCATGCCGAGACATAGGTATAAGCTGGCTCGAAAGTAGGCGTTTGTCTTGCGGATCTCTTCGGCGGAGAGGGGCTTTCCCGCAATCGTAGAGCGAGCGACTCCATAGGCTGAGATGCTCAGAGAGTCGGAATTCGAGGACATTGTGGAATGTTGTGGGTGGAATGTGAACTGCAGAGGAAACTATACCGTATGCTCGGGACTGTGCAGGGAGCTTCATATTTTATAGGTTTCGGAATTGGTCGTACGATTCGTATTCAGAGGCCTAGATCGATTCAATACGTAGCTTTATTCGATGTAATAATGACGTCCCATGGCTATTTGCGGTCCAGGCTCGCGATGCAGAAAGTCAATGACGTCGTCTGTGACGGTGTGTCCATACTGGAGAATCTGCGGAACACCCGGAGGTCTGAAAGTCCGAACTCGCTACAGAAGAGGATCTCAATTAATGGAGTTGTTTATTGAAGCTGAAGCGGTTTAGCAAAAAATCCAGATGATGATTGCAAGTATATCAGCAACATGAATTGGACAAGATGAAACGATCGACAAAATGGGTGGGTCCCGGTAGCCATACGCTAGCCCTATTTAGGGAGTTGATACGAGTGCTCTAGAAAATAACTTCCTCTGTTTGTGTAGAATAGATAATAACAAGCTATCACAGGATTTGGTCAAGCAAGGCTAGAGAAGTGCTTTCATCCATAACGTCGACACCGATGTAGCTTCGGCCCGTTTCATTTGAAGCCCACCGCGCCTGAAGGTCTTTCCCTATGTCCTCGATCCGCTTCTCCCATATGGAAAGATTGATCCCTGGCACGGTCTCGCGCAGGAAGTCTGTTAGCCCACCTACTACCTCCAAGGACACGGAGACGGGGACGGATCTTTGTTGTTGTTGCTCCAGTACAATCTCGGCAGAGGTTTGACCGGTTCTGACAAAAGCGTATCGTATCAAAGCGTCGTCGTCGATTAAACTGCGGCCTGGTTGGTCCACAAGAACAACCCAGCTGCCGGGGTGTATATCTCTGACTCGGATCCTTGACTGGACGTTCACTTTGGGAGGGGGGGCAAAGTGACCGGCGGGAATAGGACTCACGGCGAACCGTCCTGACGATGGCGATTGCGATGGTGAGTTGTCGTCATCGTCGTTGTCGGTGGTGATAGTGGTAGTGGTGGGGGATGAGGAGGCACCCTCGTTAGCGAATCGAAAGATGGCTTTGTCGGAGCCCAAACCCAAGGAAAGGAGGTATAATAGAAACCGGACGGCAAAGCGCTCGGCAGTTAGAAGGGTATTGCTCATATCTTCGTAGTAACTTGGATTGGAACTATTCAGGTGTTTTTGAAAGCGGTGATCTGCGTCATCGACAAACGTGAACATGTGCATCACAGGAAAGGCTTGGACGACGGAAGAAGTCAAGCGGACATCAGTCGTCAAAGGCGATGATAATTTAGAGCTGCACAAGGATGCCGAAAAGGCGCAAGTCAGATAGATAGTTTTGTCACGGAGCCACCCGAAGTCTCCCGATGACCTCCACCGCTGCTGCAGCTCCGTCCAGAAACGAGCGGAGGAATTGTCGCTGTCCCGGTCCGGCCTTTGCAAAAAGCAGAGCTGTTTGAGGCCCGTAGACTGCGACAGAGCCGCTGCTAAATCATCGAGCTCTCCCTTGTTCCCCTCCAGCTTGAAGTTATCGATGCAGAGACTGAGCGCAGACGCGCTCCGAAGCTCGTCAGATTCAATGGCGGCAGCGATCACGCTGGGTGAGAGGTTCCTAAACGCGACCCAGTTGAGATGCATGTGTCCGGCGTACGCAACACGCAGAATATGGCCCGAGACCTCAGACGGGCCTAGGCTGTCAGGCACCTCTTCTATCCGCCTCTGTACATGATCGCGGAACTCGGCGAGCTTTTGGAAATTGAGGATTTTGTTTTGGTCGAGGTGAAGGTCAGCGAGATCCTGTGTGAGAATAAGCAGATTATCGGTGGCGCGATCGCTGTGTTCCTTTCCCGGCGGGCCGTCCGCAATGGTCCATCCGGGGCCTGGTAGGAATGCATAGGATACATATTCGTCGAGGTCCCTGTGCTCCTTTCCAGGTGGGTCGTCCGAGATGGTCCAGCCCGGGCCTGGTGGGAATGCGGATTTGGCGCGGGTCCCGGGCTTTGGAGGCCAGAAGTCTATTCCATAAGTTAGCAAATACACGAGATGTGTGAGCATGGAACAGTGCGAGTAATTCACAGACAGTTGGAAATGCTTGATATGAGACCTTCCGGAACTGCTTCACGCGGCTTTGGCTTAATTTCAAGCTCCCGCGGCCAAATGTCTATCATTCCCATGTCAGCACATGCACACCATCCTGGTCCGACAGGTGAACAGGTGGCGTGGAAACAGACGTACAGTTTAACGCTCTATGATCAACAAGCGGCTTCTCCTCCAGTCGTAAGACGTTAGGGTCATATTCACGGTAGAAGTCGAACTCGAAGTTCTTGCGTAGTCACTGGACAATAGATAACGGCACTCGATGCCGCGGGCTGGCGAGTATCGTGTCGGGTTCCTTATCAGGCGGGCGATCTTCGATGGGATCCCAGTCATAGGGATTGTGGCACCAAACGTCGGCCATATAGCACACGGGGAATGCAAGAATGCCGTATTTGACGCCGCTGTTGAGGTCGGAGATGTCAAGAACGACAAGGCCATACTCGGTGCAGTCGGCACGGAAGATAGTGGATAGCGGCTGGAGCTGGACGTCGCCAGAGCGCACGCTATTTTGGTTAGTGGTATTGGTATCACCATCGCAATCATTACGCAACAGTCCTAACAAAAGGCACGTCGTTGTAAAGGGGAACTTGCTGAGCGCGTCATAATTCCACGGCAGCTCGGGCCGTAGTTGCGCGGCTTGCACCTGCTCCTCCCATTGCCACCAGTGTTTGCCGTCAGGCACGATAAAAGGGGGCTGCGGCGCGTCTGGGACACTGGGCCGGTGATTCATGTCGGCCTCGTTATCCCCTTGAGACTGACTGTACCAGATCTTAGCGAGCGCACTCTCCGCCTCAAGCGGCGCACGGTTCGCGGGATCCGAGAGAACTTCGATCAGCGCGAGGATGTCTGCCACAACATGGTGTATACGTGGCAGTTGACCCCTTTCCCTGCGAGTGTCTCTGCCCTGGCGGTAGGCCACGGCCAGAGAGCGGCTAGTCCCACAGGGGCCGACATTGGCGACGACGCAGAAAAGAAAGGAGCGGGGGCTTTTGGTATCTAGACAAGTGTATCTGGACATCGTATTATTTAGAAGGGGGGCGACATGATAACAACAGCTGGGAAACATTAGAGGAAAGGCAAAAGAGGGGCAGCTAGGTAGCTTTGGCCATGTAGTTTATATGCAGCCGGTCACATGCCGGCCAGGGTCAACGCACTAAAAAACATAAACAAAGAGCGGTTGATCTAGCTACCAAATCAAGGGCGTATGGAAGAAAGCTGATAGCCGTAGACCAATCCATTTGATGTAGGATGCTTGGATTTAGTGTGTTAAGGCCCTACAGCAAGTTAGATATTCAACAGCTCAGTGTAAGTCAGCTAACTACTCACAACATAAGAACTAGTGCCGCATCAAAACAACCGAAAGTCTCCAAAAAATCCAGGAATAACAACATCACATACATATCTTAACACATCACATATCCTCATGTACTCCGAACGATGCAGCCGAGCCAGAAGCTTTCAAACCCTTAATTGCTTCCTCAATAGTAATAACCTTGACCGGGATCTTCGGGAAGATATCGTAAAGAATAGAGTACTAGATTTTCTCCGCCGAGGGACTAGGCTCGCTGATATTATTTGAAATAACATATCTAATTATTTGCTAGATTCCCCGCTATAAAGATGTCATAGGGGTAACTCACACATTATAATCTAAATCAAACAGCCTCGATTCTATGGCTAGAATGATTCCGGAAGTGCAGATTCTAGACTTAAAGGGCCTAAATTAGTAATTATCCCTCACTCATTCTTCGAAAGTCATATATAGAAAAAGCAACAACATACTAATATCATAGTATCTATTTTCTGACTGTTTAGAATCTCCTCAATCGAGTTTCCAGCTCCTATATAATATCTCGTCTTCAGCATAACCGCGTCATCTCTCCGTCTTAAAAGTATGATAGATCTGGCTCTCCGCGCTCGACTCTGTGAGATTGCCTAGGCCTTTGGCTACAGACGCGAACGGGATATTGGGGCCGACTTCGGGGAGTCAAGACGTGGAGAAGTAGATACGCGTGAAGATGGTAAGCGGTAGAGGGTCTTATTTATGCATGCTATTTATCTTAAGTATTAAATAGGTTCGTAAAGAGTAAAAAGAAGGAGTAAGCCCACGCGTTAATTTAGCTCGCTATATTCTTCATCTATTCCTTCCTCTCGTCCGTAGTGTTTACGTTCGCGACTATCGCGTTAATAAGATCGAGGTTTAACACGACAAAATGGTTTCTGAAGTTCAGAGATGAGGTTAAAGCAGTTAAACGTAAGTCTAATAGGTAGATTAGGTTGGTTCCTGGCTGAGCTGAGAGGGCGAAGAGGGAGAGAGATAGCGAGCCGAATAGTACGCTAAGCATAGAATGTCAGGATCGCGGTGCGATCAAGATGAGAAAGATGCTTGAATTCCTAAAGATGCAGCGTAGCTGCGAGAGCTATCTACCGTGTGGATCAGATGACACACTAAACTACATTAGGAAGGAGAAGCGGTCCAACATAGAATGCATGTTATAGTGTAGAAGAAGAGAAGATGTTTGAATTGAGAGCGATATGGGTAAGGCACGTAGGTATATTATTGTAGAAATAATTCTCGCTCGGTGGTTTTGCTGGACGCTTTATCGTTATCCCTTGCGTCTGTAGACTGCAGGCGACTTTCAACGTACTTTGAGGCGCGGAAATGTTTTTATAGCGACGTGTCGATGAGTGTCTATGCATTAAACTCTCGGATGACAAGAAACGAGATAATTCTTTGTGCATTGGAACTTCCAAGGATGACCGTGGCGTGGATGGAAGTAAACAAACATCTCATCCACTGGTAGTCGAAAAGTGACAGCTCTCTCTGCCAGACTGAATGAACATGTTTCTGTGCAATTAGGAAATTGGGCTAAAGAACACCCTGAGGCTACAATCCACTCATCTCCCCAACTATCCAAGATATATTGATATATATAAAATCTACCTATAGTCAGTTATTCCAAGCAATCCCATCATACCACACACCCCCTACTCGTAACAACAGTCTATGCCTTCTTCGTCTTATTAATCATTACCAGGTGCGTCGCTTCGGTATCGATATCATTCACCGACCGACCAAGCTCGACATAACCTTCATCATCAAGTGCATACAGTGCCTCCTTAAGCCAAACACGACACATCACATTCTCTTTAAACCAAACAGGGTACTGGATCGGGACTTCTCCCAGACGATAACCGACGGCATCATGCACTACCGGATCCAGGACCCCGAGTTTTAAAGTTAATAGCACTCGATTAAAATAGGGCCCGTCTTAAATTAGCTGCATTTCATACTTCCAGGTCATGGGATCCGTCGTGTCTAGGTTAATAGATAGTACATAATCCCAAACGAGGCTGATTTAGCCAGATACAGAGCCCAGTAGAACAGGTAGCTGTCTCCACAGTCCAAGAGGAGGATGTATAGGGCGTTAGGGTCGAGGTTGAAGATGGGAGTGGGCATCCCGGCCTGGAAGAAGGTTCCCAGGTGGAGTTACAGATGTTAAGAGATTAAGAGCAAGCCCTTATCCAGAAAAGGAGATCCAAAATATGCTCAATTATATTTATCGTAAGCACTGACAGGGAACTATGTATAGTTCCTATATATTCCGTGCATCAAAGCATCGTAAGTCTGGCAAAGATGTTCCTATTTAATTGATTAGAACTTGTTGAGACCCAGAGACATGCACGGGTATACCGCTATGATATGATATACGAGACTCAACCTCACCACTGCAGAACCTTGTTGGAGGTCGCTACTTCCTCCGCCCAGAAAAAGAAAATATCCACCTTTGGGGCGCTGGCCACATGTCCAGTGTTGCCATGGCGGCTTTTGACCCTATATTTTGGCTCCACCATTGGTAAGTACAGTCGAATCTAAACTATTGTTAGATAGCACTGAATAACAAGCACACAGCAACATTGACCGGTTGACGGCCATTTAGCAGGCGTTGAACGGAAGTGGGGACCAAAATGCAAACGATGGTGATAAAAAGTGGTTTGACAACGCACATAGTGCAAAAAAGCGATACGATGACCTGAGACCCTTCCGAAAAACCGATGGACAATTTTACAAGTCAGACGACGTTGAGAAATGGCGCGATCTGAACTACGCTTATGGCATATTACAGTACCAGACAGGAACGGAAAATAAGTGTCGGTTGACTTGGTCATTGCCCTAAGCAGATATCCTATCGATTCAACTGAATATAGGTATATGCTCGGTGGGT